AGAGAACCAATCAGCTGGTAAGTATCGGTTTGAAAGCTATGTAGCGAACAGTTTTAAATACACGGTATGTTTGACACCTAATAAACACAACGCAAACAGCTGTGACAAAGATGAAACAGCAGAAAAGCAAAAAGACAAAAGGAGCAAGATCAATGTGCACAAACAAAAACAATTGTACAACAACAATATATTATATGAAACAAAACACTAGGCACATGCAATTAAGAATATCAAGTTAAATTAATCAAATTTACAGGAAATTTTGATATTTTACTTATCTTCAAATTGTGCACCAGACGTTTAATCACACTTTTTTTAATTTTTACTTTATTAAGCGTAAACAGCTTTATAAAACACAAAAATATTATGTGTATATATGTGCTAGTTGTATATGTGTATATATGAGCTAGGTAAAATTCTGACGTTCGTATTGACCACGAGAAATGTCAAATTTTTACTTTGATCCGACAAAATTTCCTCTTCTATCAATTGGCACAGGCCCTAAAATGGCAACTCAAGATTCGACTTATTCCGATAATAATCATGTGTTTACATATGCAAAAGACCATGTAAATGTTGAAGGGTGCAACTATCGGTTCGTGTCTTTAATAAATCGTGGTGTATTAGTCGCCAAGTTTTTTGAAACCGCCCGGCAGTTACACCATTCCTATGTTTTTTGCACACACCTACATAGTATGCATGATTCAATAATAAAAGGTTTGCTCAGAAAACAGTTTTCTCGCTCCCTCCTGACAAAATCGGCTCCCTTGGCAAGGCACTGTTACGTTTATACGCACGCATTATTTGCAAATAACAATTTGCAAAATGGTAAACTTTGCCGTATAAACGCTGGGTTAATTTTTTATTTGCAAATAACTACATCACGCAAATAAGTATTGATTAGTGGTACTATTTGCAAATAAGCGCAAGACGCTGCCATTCTTAGGATATCTGCACACTTGTCATCCAATCATAGTTGCGTTATCGTCTCGCCCTGAAATTTTGAGCCGAGCACATGCATTTCAGAGGAGATCTGCACACTTGTCGTTATCGGCTAGTTATCGGCAAATCGTAGAAGATGCAGAAACGGATAAGTACCGCACTGTCGTTTGCTAATCGTTGTGCACGCATTGTTTGTTTACATTTTATGGGGAAAAATTAGTGAAAAAGGGAATATTTGCATAAAAATTAGTATTTTTTGCATAAAATCTGTGGAAATTATTAAAAAGTGGATAATTGCATTAAAATTCAATAAATGTAAGCGTTTAACCTATAAAATAAAACGAAATTGTAAAAAGTCTCTGTGTGCATGCACAAAACACATTTCAGGAAAAGAAAAGAAAAGAAAAGAAAAGAAAAGAAAAGAAAAGAAAAGA